AAATGGGCATGGTCTATTTAAAGGTGAATAAAATCTGCTAACCTAATATTAGTTGTTTGACATAAAAAAGTCACACTTTCTGTAGTGTGTATATATGATTTTACTTTTTGCTCACTTTTTACTTCACTAATAGCTACTTTCCTACTTCACTACACAACACAGACCTGAGATACTCTCTTTACTATTTAGTGACGCTGCATGTTTTGCTTTAAAGATATGTGTGTGTATTTATGTATCACTCTTAAAATTAATATCCTAAAAAGTTGAAAAAGTCTATTAAATGATGAATATTCTCCTCTCAACAGTTTCAACTATGGCTAGTGAATTTGGAAATTGTCTAATCATTTTGAAGTTCTTAGATTAGAGATGAGAAAAAGTTTTTTTCTAACATCTGTTTTGCTTTAATTGATTATACCTATTGTAGAATTTTATTTTTACAGAGGTCTTTTAGTACTTCCCAACACTTCTGGTCTTGACCTGAAGCCTTAGACAATCTGTTCATTTTTTTTTTTATCTGATTCAGACTTTAGATTTTTTTCATTTTAAAATAATTTTATTTATTTATTTTTAGTTTTCAACATTCACTTTCATAAGATTTTGAGTTGCAAATTTTCTCCCCATCTCGCCCCATCCACCACTCCAAGATGGTGTGTAAATTGATACAGGCTCAACATATACATTCATATTAAACCTGTTTTCACATTAATCATATTGTGAAGAAAAATTAGAACCAATGAGAAAAACTACGACAGACTTTAGAATTTTTTTTAAAGAATGTTTTACTTATCACAATCAAAGAAGAATTTGAAATCTTATACAAAGTATATTTTTACCCTTCAAATCCAGATAAAAATAGTTAGTTTACAGTGGTCAAATAAAGTTTTAGCATCATCAATGTAGAACAAATTTTTAGCTAGATTTTATGTGATCAAAGATTCCGCTGGCCATTTGATGTGTGATTTATCAAACTGAATATTTAAAGCATTTAAAAAACCTACTGAAAAAAAAAACCACCTCAACACATAGGATTACCCTTAAAAATACAAATGATATTTTTTTGAAGTTTCTGTAAAAAAGGGATAGTTACACATATTTCTTAAACTTTGTTTCTATAAAGAGAGATTTATACTCCATGGGACCAATCACTTTCTTTTGGCAGCAGATTGACATAATGGTGAAAAAAGTAATTAAAAACTTGATTAACTATTAATATTATTTCTGACTATTGGACTGAACATCTGAAAGTGGCAGAGTTGAAGCTCAAGTTTAGACATGTGCAATATATTTATTTCAAGTTTCCAAACTAAAGTGAGGAGACAGATTACTAAATGATCATTTATAAAGTAGGGGCTATAAAATTTTTAGAAATACCTATGTTGCACTCTTTATGTTGCTAAATGGATCATTTTTCAAGAAGCAGGAAAGTATCTTAAGTGGAAAAGATGTGGTAGTACCTTGCTATTTTTTGAAGGATGACACAATCTCATTCGTTTTCTCTAGTAGTCAAAGACAATGCAATGATTTTTACCAAAATATGATTTTTTTTAAAAAAGGTAAGATTTGGTTTAATGACAGATATTTCCTTCTAAACTCTAGTTCTTACTTGAATGGATTCAATTTGTTAAAAAAATTCATTTAGTGACACAAAGATAAATAAATGAGTAGAAAGGGCAGCAAGTTCACCAAGTTTTTGGTTCAAGATGAAGGATGTGTGAAAACTCAAACTGTGGATGTGTTTGATGAAAATTACAACACTGTCATTTTTGCTAAGATTTGACTCAGAAAATAAACCTGTGGTTAAAAACCAAAAATAATAAATCCAACAAATTAGTCATTTTTAAAAAAATGTTGATTACATTAAGCAGCTCTTTAAAAGAAAGTTCACAAAGACTGAAATGAATAACTTGAAAACTGTTCTGAAATACTGAACGAGGACGTCCTGGGAAAATAAGGTGGTATTTTCTGCAGACTTTGCTTCTGAGAAATTTTACATTAATCTTAACTGAAGGATCCTGTACTATGGATGTCAGTATCCCTCTCTCTCTCTCTCCTGTCTGTAGGAGTGGAGGCTACAACATGGATACTAAGCAATCACCTAAATGAATCATGTTAAGAAAGTGCTTTGAGATCTCAGATTGAAATGCAAAATAAAAGACATTCATTTATCTTACCAGACCTACAGCATGCTGTGGAACTAGGCCTATATTTTCTTTCTCCTACAGATATTGCAATATTTTCAAATAAGAATCTCAGTACAAAGGGGTTTTGAATGGAATTTCAACCTTACCTCTAAACGTCCTGATTCTGTATCTAAAATCTACAATGAATAATAATCTGATAATGGACTTTTACAGTTTAATTTTTTTAAAGGAAAAAAAAGTGGACTGTTTTACCCCCCCCCAAAAATCAAGTGAGATAACACAATAGACTATGACAGATTTATTACTATTTACCACTATAAAGATGTTCTTAAGAGAAATTGTAAATGTTTTTATCCAGCTACAATCACTCCAAAAGAAACCTTTTATTGTCCCCAGCCTTTCATTATCTACTATACAAATAATGGTTCACATTATCAGATAAATATCAATCATTTTCTTTGAGCTGAAATAGAACTGATTTGGTTAATGTAGAAATAAAGGCTTATTGGGCCTAATGCATCAGACTTTCATTTCCTAATGTAATCTATCATCAGGTGAATTAGTACATTTTGCTAAGTATCTAAGGTATGTGGTTCTTGTGAAAGAGCTCAGAGTTATAAATGATAATCTGTCTATGATAAAGCTAATATAAATGAATAAAACTGTATTTATTTGAATTATTAAAAGTGCATTTCCCTCAACAATTTTCAAGTACTAATAACTTAAATGTTTAAATTTTAAAATAACCTGAACAAGCCTATACCACCAAAAGCAAAATTATCCTGTAAATATTTACCCACTCACATAAAACTTGTGTTTACTTAAAAGTTTCATCAGAGTCCTTCAGACATACAGCTGAGTTGGATGTTGCAACAAGAACGTCTCCTGAACATGCTACTAGAGTAGAGGGATAGAACAATCCAAGCTGAACGTTCCATGACTGAGTTCTAATTACTAGGCAATATTGATTTGGAACAGGGTGGTATTCAGATTTTCTGAACATATCACAACACTTCAACAACACTACAATAACTCACTGTAGATCAAGGGTAAAATAGTACCAGTATAATTGTCCTAAAATGGTCAGCTGTCTACAGGGAAATATTTTTAATTCATGACAAATTATGGAAAATTGTTTTCTGACAATGATTAAGCAAGTAGAAAACAGACTTAATACCACACAAATGCACTACTTATGTAGTAGAAAGAAATTTGCATAATTTTGAACACAAGAAAAAATTTAACAGTTAATTTTTAATATATGACAGAAAATTAGGCACAGCATCTTTATGCACTGGTGCCTTGTAGCAATACTGGAGATTTTATAGCAAAAAACTACTTTATCATTTCAGATCATTCAAATGTAATATTTTTATATTTAAAAATATTCACATTATATAGAGTTGGATCATTTGAAAATGTTATGAAAACTACTGAAAGCTAAAAACTCATCCAAATTAAATCTACATCTGGGGCTTAGGGAGCTGACCATTTAAAAAAACAAGTTCATTTAAGATAAAAATACATTATGTTGACATTTTCTGGTGGGAAGGAAGGAAGATGTAATTCTGGTTGCCCAAAATGACTTTGAAGAACATTACTGATAGCATTTTGATAATGTGTGCATTGGTCCATATATCTAAATTTCCTATAATACTCCTCCAATATTATCAAATTATATAACTATATAACATAGTCTTGCACATTTCAGTTTAATTAATTTATGAATTTACTGTTGAAACCAGTGAAATGCACAGGTGTTTGGGTTTATCTGATTTCAATAAACATGCAAAATCCATTATTCTTCTGATTTATTAAAAATTAAATAAAACTCATTCCTATAACAATGGCTAATATATTTTGAAATATTTTAATATACCTTAGAACTATAACTACTCATGAGTATGCTTTTAATGTGATATTTTTGAGAGGTTGCCAGCACCTCAAAGAACATTAAATTAAATAAGATATGTGTCAGAATAATTTCTTTTCATTCCAGGTTAGGTCTTTAAGAAAGAAAAGAAAAAAAATCACCATATATTTCTGCCCAGAAGAATATCATTAGAAATAGTCTTCTTAAACAAAAGGCTAAGTAAAATGCATACATAAGTTAACTGAAAATCTATGAAATCAGAAATTGCAAAATAAGAACCATCTAATTTATTTAGTTAAAATAGCCTCTAGCTTTGTGCCTTGAGAAAACTATTTAGGTTATCTTTTTTTATCATATCTTTGGGGCTGGGGATGCAGGAAAACTCTCAGTAACTACTGCACATAGCTCCATCTATTAAAATAACCCAGAATGCTTTTGGTTACAGCTGGATTCTTCTAGTTGTCACCTGGTATCACATATCCAGAGAGCTACTGATGCAGTACCTTTACAGACTTCATTCAACACCCTCAGTAGAAAATAGAGATGTCTTCCCTGCACTATGGGCTGAAAACCATGTAAATTTCTCCTAAATCCTCTCCACAAATCTTCTTTAGCATGCAAATCCATAAATCATCATAATACTGACAAAGCATTTAACCAGTACATGAAACTAATGCTCATTGCCTCCAAAGACACTAACAGGTAAAACTCTTCAAACTTTAGGCATCTTCTCAAAAGCTCTCTTCAGAGCTTACCCTGCTGAAAATCCACATGGCCACCCCTTCTTCCAGAGTGGCAATTCATCACTTTACCGTTTGGTAAAATGGCAGCATTTTCAGGTTATTCCTACCTCATCTACATTTTCTGTGAACAAATGTTGCTTTGAGATTACATGATATAATTCACTTCTATCTTCTTCTGATAAAAATATAAAACATAAAAAAAGAAAGAAAACAATAGCCAATTGAGAAACAGACAGTACTTACTGAAGATGGCAAACCCGGAGGAACTTTTCGAACTTTCTTTGTTTGTACCTCTGCAAGAAGATGAACGACTTTGTGAGCAACAGAAGCTTTTCCTATATGAAATATGCTATACCATGAAGCACCTAGTTGCTGCTGTTAGCATTTTAGCCTGGATTTTTTAAAAAAAAGTATATTGGTAAAATGCCACAGACACCATTAACTCCTATTCTGTTGGGGAACTAAAAACAAAGCAAAGCAGAATAAACAAAAAAAATAAATCCCTGCTATTTTGATAGACTAATGAGTTCAAATTATTAATGGTTTGATTTAGAAGGTTGTCTTCTCCATGCATTTTTAAAAAACTGGCCTTGTTTGTTCAGCCAAAGAAAAACACGGAATAAGCTAATGCAGGAGAATAAAGCTCCTGACATTTCAGCCTGGTATGCAGAAGAGATCTATATACTAATTCATTTTGGGGAGGAAGTCACTATCTTACCATTTCAACAAATGTTACAGCTTTTTTTCTTTTATCATATGTTCCTAAAAACCCATCAGCCCAAATCATGAATTCAAATACATGAAGAACTCACCCATGGCACTACTATGAAGAGGCCTCCTCCGGGGGTTATTGCTAGAATACTGATAGTACTGGGAACCAGGTTTGGATGGTGAGAGAGCTCCTGGATTGCCCATATCCATGTCACTTCCAAGGAGACTTTGCTAAAAGGGATAAAAAGAAAGAAAGAATATATATATATACACACACACACACACACACACACATATATGTATACATATATATACATATATATATATATGGTTAAGTTTTTTTTTTCTTTTCTTTCTTTACTCTCTCTTCCCTCTTACCCCCCCCATCTTCCCCCACCCTCCCGGAACTGATTGTTAGCACTTAAACCCATGGAATAAAGAAAACAGCATCTGCTAAACTGAAGCATTAAAAAAAAATCTATCTAAAGCAGCCATCACAAAGGACTTTAGGTTCCTTATATTGGGAAGTAAGGTAGAAGGTAATTCTTTTTAAAATCCTTTAAAAAAAATCACGATGACTTTAGTATTCTTCATTACTATTATAATAAAATGTCATTTACATAAGATCAATTTTCATTTAACCAGATTTAGGAATTTTATCTGCAAATTATTTGTGTCTTTTGTGGAAACCAAAAATGAATCTGAATTTTTCAGACACAGGAAAACTCCATCATGTCGCTTATGTATCAATATGTATTTAAAAGTAGCTCTGTTGTATTTAGAAGTCTATCTGCATATAACAATTTTTTCAATGAATAACTTTTAAGAAACATGGCATAAAATGCAAATTATACATAAAATTAAAGTGCTTTTATAAATTATAAATATCTGAATTTACAAAAATTTTAGACAGTTTTGCCTAAATAGAAACAAAATGGAATACCCTCCTGAGGATTCTTGTCCACTCAAGAGATAAATACCTACAGAAACAAAATTTACCTGGACACTAAGAAACTTTCATAGATCACTTTAACTAATTACAATGTAACAGATTATTAAACCTTATGATACTATGACATGAGAAATACTGTATAATATTAAATGTTCTATAAATTACATTGAAACTTACCCATAATACATAAATCCCCTGATTATACTCTGCATTGAACACATTGTTCTTTTAATTATTCTGATATGCAATAAAACAGGTGTAGATACTACCATTTATATTAAGAACAAATTTACTATTTAATAAAGAAATTTTAAAATTAAGTACCAAAAATCTAACTTTATCGTTACTTGTAATCAACTTTTACTGACTGAACTAATTACTGTACTTGATAAAGTACAGAATGTGTTTTCCCTAATCTAAATTCTAATCACCATGTCACTCACAACAGACTTAGTAATGCTTCACTAACACACTATTCACATGCAAAATACTCTAAATAGGCCAATTATGACTCTGCCCCTGTTCCCTGGTTAACCCGCTGAGAACTGAAAAATTTCACAAGGCAGTCACCAACTAAAACAAAGGGTCCTTGTTTTAAATTAAGACAGTCTTTTTGATTCCTAAATAGCTCAACAAAGTGGCATGTCTTCTAGTGAAAGCAGTTGGTCAAATATGACCCATAAGCTGGAAAATCAGAAATTAAAACATACCTTTTCCATGACCATATAGTTAAATATCATAAAAACAATTTTTTCAATTCAAGAGTTTTTTGTGTGTATGAGAAATAACTAAAAAACTAATCATTATTGACATTTTTTTACTTATTCTATTTTTAATCTGTCATAGAACATCTAATAAAACATATTTTAATAAAATCTCATGCATGGAATGATAGTTCAAAATTGATTTTTTTGAGTTACAAACTCATTGTAGTAAAGTATTTTAATTATTTATCACATAGCTAACACACACCTGGCATCTGCATACTTCCTTTCTCACACAGTTTCTTCAATTCTTTCCTTTCTCACAGAAAAGCAAAATGTTGCACAATGACAAACCTAAATATGGATTGTACCATAAATCAGAAACTAGCCTCATGAAATCAAGGAAGCTTCTCTAGAATTTCTGGAAGAAATAAATTTCTTACCCTAAGAGGTAAGAAATATGACTAAAATGAGTTTGACTATTATTTCAGTCTTGGGGTTAGTCATAAATGTTTTCTGCCAGTAAGAATACAGCTAGCTCTACGTATTGGGAAGCATACCCAACAGAATTGTGCATAAGTGTGTGGAAAGAGTAAAATGAAGAGGTATTTTGATCACTGCACTTGTTCCACATTCTTGCTACTTTAAGTGAGAGTCATTAACAGTCTAGTATTCCATGTCCTATTCATATATATTCATTATATAGGTGGAAGAACAGATCTCACTTTAAAAAGTATTTATGACCCTTGTTTAGTGGCCCTAAACTTGACATCCTTAGCATAGCAACCTCCAGTTTTTTTCTTTTAAAAGTCCTTGTTTTTCTTTAAAACAGTCATTTTTCTAAGTGACATATATAAGTATTTTGATACACTTAAGGGGACCACTCTCAGGACTCCACTAAGGAAAATGAAGATACTTTCTCTCTCTCTCTCTCTCTCTCTCTCTCTCTCTCTCTCTCTCTCTCTCTCTCTCTCCCCATATATACATATATGTATATATACACACACACATATATATACACATATCTATTCGTTGTAAAATATGTTTAAATAGAACAATGGGTAGTTACTATTGTTCAGCATACAAGAGATTCCTAAATGTCTGCCACAAAGGAAAAGATTTTTTTAAAAAGCACAATTAAATTGTTAGTATGCTCTAGAAAGAATGATATCTAAAATGTAATTTTTTACATTGAATAGCATCAAGTTTTAGATTTTGAATAAAATTTCTGATTTTCTGTATTCAGAAGACCACATTTACTTTTAATAAACATGTCTGAAAGTTAAGCTCATATGTGCTTTTCTTCTACTTTTTTTGAAGTAACATTCTAATCCTTGCCTTAAATAGGATTAGGATGGTTCTAGCTTTTCACATAGTGCAAGCTCATGTTCTGTGGTTATGTTGGGTCCCACCAGTAAGCTGCCAGATTCTGCCAGGAAATACTGGAAGCAAGATGTTGCATGTCTCAGAGCTAACCTGTAAATCTTAAAGTCATAGTGTTGCATTCTGGTTAAGAGTCTTTAAAATGATAAAGCAAATCCCCTTAATGGGGCCCCTATTTTCCTTCATAGAAAAACAGTTTCAATTTTGTTTAAAATCTTCAAAACCAAGAATGGAATGAGCTGAATTTATCAGTCAGGTTTTCATGCTTTTCATTTAACAGCAAAGAGCCAATCTTAGCATAGCAACCCATGTGCCAGATTCAGGCATCCTGCAGGGCTCTTTGTCAGTATGAATTTTTGTTTGTTTGTTTGCTACACAGGATCTGGGTCTGACTGTGCTTCTAACCTGCTCCCAACCTTGCCCCCTTTTTATTTTAGCCCCACCCACAAAGCTTTTGTCAAATCTCAGATCAGCCACTGAACTCTGTCTATACAACCAGGAAATGAAACCATGACTTAAACCTGAGTAACAGAAAAGGAGACTATACCTCAAATGAGATTAATACCTGAATGGTATTCAAAAATAGAACAAACTACTTCAAGGTTGAGCTACCAACTTTTAAATCATCTTGCACGTAACTATATATTTCATTTCAACTGGTGCTTTAAATATATTGAGTAGGTGGCAGAGTTCTTTAAAACTATTATATTTACCCTTAATTATAAATATGAGGGAAATGAGAGTAAAAATAAGTACTGATTTTTTTTTTGTTTATAATTAATTCATCTAATAGGCAAATGACCTTGAATTTCAAGATTGAAAACTGCAGGCTGAAAATAAATCCCTTAGAGAAGGGAAACTTCTTGAGGTTTCTTAGGGTTTTCTCTAATTTTACGTCATTCCCATTATGTTGTGATCAGATATCAGACACAACATCATGGGGGGATGTTGTAGAACAGATAAAAGCAGTCTCAGATGAAACCAGATTAAGCTCTTTTTCTGAACTATTGCCAAATGCTTGTGAGTTTAATTCATGTTTGGGTATTCTAGTACTCACACAGCTGCAATTCCATTCTTTCATCACAGACCTAAGTGATGTATGGTGGCTTTGTATGGTGAACTGACTTTACAAAGCTAGGCATTTTGGAAGGCTTTATGTCAATATAGAAACAAAATTCTGAACTACCATAAAATATATGAATGCTAAATATATGGATGTGTACATAAGACCTTGCTTATGTTAACCATAAAATAAGTACTGTTGAAATTTACAATTTGGATTTGTTTAAAATACTTTTAAACACAACTATGGTCATTTTTATACAGTCACTTTTACACAGAAGTAGATTTTCAAAAACACTGCCGAATAAGGTTCTTGACCGCTATGGTAAAGATGCTGCAAATCCCTATCGAAAAGCTCCTGCTGAATTTGCCATTTTAGCCAAAGAACACCCATTGCTGACTTCTATAATATCAGGAGGGGGTGAGAATTTTGCTGCTGTTGGCACTTAGTCTGCAGTCTGTAAGCATCTCAGGCCAAAGGACAATCAAGAACAGAATATTTTCACCTGTCCATTTCTGATTCAGACCATTCAAAAGTGAAGGTCAGTGTTTACATGCAGGGGTGGGGAACCTGCGGCCTTGAGGTCACACTTGGCCATCTAGGTCCTCAAGTGCAGCCCTTTGACTGAATCCAAACTTCACAGAACAATCCTCTTAATAAAAGGATTTGTTCTGTAAAACTTGGACTCAGTCAAAAGGCCACAACCAAGGACCTAGAGGGCCACATGTGGCCTGGAGGCCACAGGTTCCCCATCCCTGGTTTAGACCAATCTTGTTTTTTGTAATGGAGAATACAGGAATCCATCATCATTTTTGTTTCTTCTCATTTCTAAATTAACCCTGAAAGATTAGGGCCTACTCAACGAGCCACTGGGAAATTCAGTAACTGGAAGCACCCCTAAGAAGAAAGCAACTATAGCTTTTAACTGTGGATGCTTTCTATCCTACAGTGCCACAGAATCTCATCTCATCTGTTTTAATTCAAAGGAACATAGCCAAGGTATTCAGATTTTTAACAAAAATTTATATTTAAATGTGAACAATTTACTCAAATAACTGCTTCTGAAACGGAAATCTATTTTTTTTTATGATATAGTCTTTCTTCATGAACTTATATTCAGTTCACTGAT